AAAATGCAATTTCTATGATATTTGAATTCATGGTTTTGCAAAAGTCTGCATACAAAGCCTAAAGAACATTTGTAGTTCTTTGAATGTCTAACTTTGTGGTTCATCATCTCTATAAAAATTGGTATCAACGGATAATAATGAATCCACAGACCTAAACAATTATAATAAACAAAAACTGACTTTTTAAGAAAACATGATGTTTTACTTTCAGCCAATTATATACATTTTCACTAAAGTTTCAGAAAAGTCAGATGGATTGTTTTAAGAATTTTTCACCTATCAACAGGTGGGCACATATATATCACTTGATTTTCACACTCTTGTTACATAGTGTATGGTAATAAATTATATACAGTTAAAACAACTTCTTAACAGTATGGAGAGATCTGTTTTTTAAAAGCTGGATTCCTGTCCTACAGTACATGTGTGGAAAATATGTTTTAGCTATAGTGTATACAATAATTCAAGAAAATTATAAATCCTCTCAGGGAGGTATTAAATATGTTGAAAGTTTAAACTTTATCAATTAACAAGCTCTCAATTCTTATCACATTGTAACAAAATAACAGATGAAAGTAATTGATAAAATTATATAACACTGACATAAAATAAAAAAAACTCATAGTTAGGAAAAAATTACTCTTAAGCCTCTTTGCTTAGACTTACTATATCAGTTTTAAGGAACGTGAGTGATGTATTATTGAAGGAATGAAAAACAATATGTGTAACTAATAGAAGTTATCAGGTTATATAATTGACATTATTTTAATCATGATTTACTCAAATTAGAACTAGTCATCTCATAAACTATGTAATAATTAGGGGAGGACAAATTAATGATAAGCACCTTTGTGTCATAATAAAAGTATGCAATTTGAAAAAGAAACAAAGGAATTTATTTTTTTTTTAGACAGTATAGTATATAGATATTCATTCCAAGTGGTTTTCTGAATCCTCTTGATCAGTCCCTCGTTAACCAAAAGTTTGGAGAGGTAAGGATGTTCATATCATAATCAGCCAAATTGGATGTAAAAAATAGCAGTGGCTGTCAATAAAAAACTTGGCCCCAAGGAGATGAATTTTGGTGTTTGTACATGTACAAAACAAAATTAATGGAGGAATTATTAAAATACATGTTATAATCATTGTCGGAGCTAAAGCACTACTTGCAAGTAGTACTATACACTTTGGACTCATTCCTACAGCACAGGAGTTGTATAGAAAGTCTTACTAATACAAATCCTTGCTACAGGTATGAACCAAGGGAGAGTATAAAACGGCTTGAGACTTTCTCTTACATACCAATGTCATGAATTTGGTAATGGATGATCACAGAACTATTACTCTGACAATTTTAAATTGTAAGGGATATGTACCTACTGAAAGACTTACTCCAATCAATTAAACAGGCTAGCTTTAATCCAAAAAATATATACCCACTCAATAACACTGCTTATTTTTAAATAAATTTTCTTATGGTCACAAGCATAAAAAAAACCCATTTTGATTACAAAAACAGTATTCAAACAAACCTATTTTCCTCTTTGTTTCCTGATATTGTTTATTATGTATGCAACATTTGACATTTATCTAAAGTAAAATAATTCTAAACAATAATGATCTTAAGACATAACTACAGATAAATAATTACTGGAATGCTATTTTCTAATCAAGTAGACTGATCACAGCTTTCATTATAATTGACATTTAGTCATGTGATCAGAGCAAAAATAATCAAAGTTATGTAATTCAAACAATCTGTTTTAACAAATACCGAAAAAATTGAAAAAACAATTCTGCTGACAGTTCGATCAATAGATAATTATACACATTTAAACATCTTCTTTAGATAATAACATATTTTCTAAATTCAATTTCCATCCCCAGTGGGATGTCTGTGTTGATTTTCAAAAACGAGAACGTCTTTAAATGAGGTTGAATGATTTCAAGGACATTTAGGTGAAGAAAAGAAAAAGAAAATTTTTCCAAGTTTACATAGTATCTTAAAGGAAAATGAAAGAGATGATGTCAGACAATCTTATATTTAAAACTGCTGTGCAAAGGAATGACAGAAAACTTGATTATGATCAATCAAATGGCATTGCATCATATCATCAATAAATGTATGACATACTTAAATTCTGGAGAAATCACAATAATCCCTTAAAATGGACCTTTATCATTTCTCACATTTTTCATGTATTCTTATGCAAGCCCAAATTCAGTCTGTTTTTTTAAGTTCATTCACATTACATTAAATAGATATAAGAAGATGTGGTATTAGTGCCAATGAGACAACTCTCCATCCAAGTCAAAATTTATAAAAGTAAACCATTATAGGTCACAGTGCGGTCTTCAACACGGAGCCTTGGCTCACACCGAACCGTAAGCTATAAAGGGCCCCAAAAATTACTAGTGTAAAACCATTCAAACGGGGAAAAAACCAACGGTCTAATCTATATAAAAAACGAGAAACGAGAAACACTTATGAACCACATCAACAAACGACAACTACTGAACATCAGATTCCTGACTTAGGACAGGTGCAAACAAATGCAGCAGGTTTAAACGTTTTAAGTCAAGAAAATGCACTGATTTATCAGACAAATTATGATATAACTAGACTAGACTAGATCAATGTGATATGATCAAAACAAAATAAATTTGAAATATGTTCATTTTTTGCTTAATTTGATTTAGTTGAAATAAATGGTTTTTTTTATTATAAGTATTTTCATGGATTAATATTTGAAGATAGTCAGCCAAAAGTTTTGAATATTCAAAATCGATGATCTATTAATTTATGAAAATTTCAGAGGGAATTGAGTGGATATCAAATTGTACTCGTTCCCATCTAGTGCTAGAGCCTTTAATTATCCTCTTGGTGCCTTTTCCCTTTCTGTAACTACAAACATTTGAAGAACACAAATACATACATTTTGAACATATGTACAAGTGTATTTACTGTATTGAGTTAAAGAAGGGGATAGGGCACATTTAATGAATTATGTGAAGTGGACTGATGTGTTGCTCCTTTATCTTTTGGATAAAACAATGCCTGCATGTCTTTCTTTTGACCCATAGTTCATGATTTTCCTTTTGGTTTCTTCTTACCTTTTTCCACACACACCATAATTATATTGTTTACTAGTAACTGTTTTTTTGATTTTCATACACAGATTTTGGCACTTATTTCATAACCTGTTTCATTACTTTATATAACACTTTCTACTGATTTCTATTTTAGTATTTTTCGTGAAATACTTGAGATTGGTTAAACATTTATTATCTACAATTTTTTGCATTTCTTCAATTTACATGTACTTTGGCATGTTTGTATAACACACCGATATTTTAAGACCAGTTCTTTAAAGCACATAGTATGAGTATTTGAAAAATGTCTCCCTCAGCTGTTTTCCTGCTAATGAAGATTTTTAAAAATCCTCCCTCTGTGATCTGTTTATAAAATCAAAGCAAAGAAATGCTGGAAAGGCAGTTTCTAACTAAAAAAATCAATGTTTTTGTGTTTAAATATTCTGTAGTTTAAATGTCTGTAGATTCTTATTCTTTGTATATATAATATGCAATCTCCTCTAACTTCCTTTTATTGCGTTTGGTAGCAGCAATACAAATACAATAGTTTTGGTTCAAGTCGTCAATTCTGCCATCGAGTAATTATTAAAAGTTATGGCCATTTTGTCTTTAAAATTGCCCTATATAACATCATATGATAAAATACAATTGCATCTAACAACCAATCCCAGAAATGACCACCTACCAAAGCATGGAATGAGGAATAAACATTTCCAAAAATCCAATACATGTATAATCTATTTTCATCTCCATTCTTGAAATTCAACTGTTTTTTCATGACAAAGATTTACACAATTTCCATCATTTAACATTTAATTGATGACAAACTATTGAGATTATACTAAACAACTATGGATTGCTCAATAAATTTTTTTTTTTTCAATATTAATTAAAAATAAAAACATAGTTTAGAATTAATCTAAAACTACTAAAGAACAAAATAGCAACGAAACAAGAGTGCACAAACTGAAATATCTAGCCACAAAATGAGGTCAATATCTGATGAACCATGTAAAATGGATATGTCCACCTTACAATCATTCCATATACCAAAATATAGCTCATCTTGCCTATAGTATCTGAGAAACAGACCTAATTACAAAGACTAAATGTTGACCAATGAACCATGAAATGTCAAAGTCAAGGTCGAATAAACCCTTAAAATGAACATGTACACATAACAATCATTTCATATACCAAATATAGTTGATCTTATGCTTCTAGTATCTGAGACATTGACCTAACCACGAAAACTAAAAATTCATCACTGATCCATGAAAATAAGGTAAAGATGAAAATGTACACTATACAACAAATATAGTTGATCTTTTGCTTATAGTATCGACTCAACCATGAAATCTAAACATTGACCAATGTAGCATGAAAATGAGGTCCAAGTCCTATGAATACTGCTAGAGAGGTATGAACATCTTACCAGCATCCCATTCACCAAATAGATTTGATTAATTGCTTATAGTATCTGAGAAACATACTTTAACCATGAAAACTTAATTATGACCAAAAAACAATGAAACTGAGGTCAAAGTCAGGTAAACACTACAAAACAGATATGTACACCATACAATCATTCCATACAACAAATATAGTACAGTATAAAACCTGAATATAAAGATCATCCTTGAGACCATAAAAACTGACTTAAATTAGAGAGATGACCTTTGAACTGAGGATTCAAAATAAATGAAAGCTACAATCCTGAAAGATAAATATATCCATGCTCTTCTTTAAAAAATAATCAGCTAATTTATGAATTGCATTCCCCTACTTTAATTGTATCTTATGCTGAAAATACACAACTATGTCATGAGCACATGATAAACCTGTCCCCTTATTTTGACCATTTAAGTACCATAAATCAAGAATAATAAATATTAAAAAAATGAAAGCAAAATTAAAATAGAGTTTTACTTTCAAAAACTTAACATTTTGTCAAACAAAGTTGAGTTATCATGCAATGTGCTCTGAATAGCAAAGTTTTTAATAATTGAAATCCCATAAATTTGGAATGACCAATCTGAAAATCATAGACATGTTATTCCATCATCACCTTTCATTGATGGGAATACAAATTTTGTTTTCTTATCAAAATGATCTTTTGTCAAAGCATTTTTATCCATTTTCTCTGTACCTCTCACAAAAACACCATTTGTGTGTTTAAGATTTAATTAGTACAAATCTTTGTAACTGAATCCAATGTGTTAGTACCGCATAGTACATTCTGATTGATGTTTATATGTCTGACCATAAGACTGCCTTTTTCTGTTTGTCTGCACTCAAAACATATTGTCCAGAAGGATGCCATGCACATGCTACAACAGCATTACTGAAAAAAAATAAAACCAATTTAACCACATATTGCGTAATCAAATTATTACCTCTATGTATCATCAAATTATTACCTCTATGTATCATCAAATTATTACCTCTATGTATCATCAAATTACTACCTCTATATATCATCATATGTGTTTCCAGTCATAAGTAGATTCGAGTACATTTTAATGTTTTGTATTTTAAAGGTAAGTTTCAGACACAGATGGAAAGTACTTGTTAACAATCACAAAATGTACAATTCCTTTTTACAAACTTTTGGAAAAATCGGGGGGGGGGGGCACTTCCTATGTAATGAGTTGTAGGGATGAGCCGCTGGAATAGGTAACCTTACAAGCTTCATGATATATGATAAGATAAAGAAACTAAGATGAAATATGCGATATGGTTGCTGATTGAATCATAAATATCTGAAACTAATCAGATGTCAATTTTTTTCTCAGATGGGATTGAAACTACAGTTGTTAATGCATAAGGTATTTGTCAAATCTATTTATCACTCCATGAAATAATGTAAGCATAATAGCTTTAAATAGATTTTTTTTCAACAAATATATGATAAGGTATGTATCTGTGTTATTCAAAGTATATGAAAAGGGTGGGTACTCAATCTCTCAGCTGCTAACCCCAACCCCAAAATGGTTGAAGCAGCAGCAGCACCCCCCCCCCCCCCCCTTGTAATTGTGTAAACTTTTAACCTTTCCAATTAATTTCCCCTACATCTGTGAAAGATTCATGAAAATTAATAAACCTTGAAAAAAAAAATTACATACCTTTTTAAATGAACTATATTTAATTTTAATGTTTATTTCAAACTTTGTAATTAAAATATACATTAAAGTCTAAATGGGAAAACATTTTTACAAGATTTTGTACAGTTTATGTGTGTATTAATATATTTTCAAATCTGTACATACTTATGTTCTTTGAGTACTCTCTCTACTTTTTCTTTTGCAATGTTCCAGATAAAAATTGAGCCATCATGTGAACCAGCTATAGCATAACTACCATCTGGGCTGAAATAAACAGATTCATTTATAATCCCTTCGTATTTCACAGCTATATATCCCTATTTCAACAATACTTGCTGTTTAACTTTTAAACAATGTTAACAGAATGAAAGTGAACTTAATATGTCTTAAAAAATAAGGAGATGTGTGATATGAAAATATTTAGTTGTCAGAACACAAGTTGATGTAATTTTCAATCAATAGGTTTTCCTGAATTTAGTATTGTAATGATTCATACCTATTTACACACAGCCTTATTTTGGCTTTACAATATAGAGTATTAGACCATTACAATACTTTTTAAAATCTATGGTCCAGAAGGTTTTGATATTGGGACTACTTTACAATGGGTGGATAGATGTCTATGTTAATCACATGCACAACAAGACATTTTCCACTGTAGAAATCACATGTCAAACAGATACACTATCACACATGTACATGTGTGCCATTAAAGTACATTTTTTGGTATCAGTCATGTTTCCTTGAAATGAACAAAATTGTCCACAAAATATTGCCTCATGTATCCACTGGTCTGGTAATAACCCCTCTGTTCTGATATTCTATGGCAAATAATATTGTAATATTTCTTCTTGTTACTTTAAAGATCTTAAACTAATGAGAGTATACATATTACTTTTATCCAATGTCATATTAAACTCTAAAAAGTAATACGGTGATTGGTTTCTTACTTTAAAATATAGAAGCAAATAAAATAAAAGATAAGGTGTACCTGAACACTGCCCTTGACCAGTCACAGCTCACATTAAAGTGGTCAGCACTGAAAAATAGAAAATAATTAAGATATTATTCTTCCAGACACTTCAATGGTTACTTTAAATCAAAGCACTGTAAGCGCTGTAGGCAGTTAACCAAAAACCAAGGCAAACGTAATTATGAAAACTGTGGCAGTGTTGCTTCAATTTTTTTTTAAGATTTGAAAGAACAAACATTAAACATTCTAATATTGTACATATATGTTCATTAAACAAATTGATTATTAAGGCAAATTAATTAATATTTCATCAAGGTTTTCAAAAGCAACTCATATATCAATGTAAATGACCCCCATCTTCACCCCCAAGTGCATGATGTTACTCCATACCAAGTTTGGAATAAAATGACAGGTGATTATAAAACAATTGGTCAAACATTCTCGGGCTTTACACTGCTTGAAAGATTTATATGTTTTCTTTAAAATGAGCCATAAATGAAAATTATTATAGGCCCAGAAATAATTTAATAAATAATTAAAGAAAATTCAATTAACCTAGACTCATTTTTTGCATCAATAAAATTTTATAATAAACAAGAAATAATTGTAACAGGATGCCGTTACGAAGTCTCCCAAACAAAGCCCCCATAATTCGTCATTCCCATGGTCTCCTGACATTGGGAAAAGTCCAGTTCATATTGGTTTGGTCTAGTAAAGTGATATGCATATGTGACACATAGGAGATTGACCCTGTATGTCATTCAAATCTTTTTGAAATGATGAACTTTAATAAATATGGTTTAGGTGTAGGTATCTCGACCGTTTACAAGTTCTCAAACAGGAGGGGGTGGGGTGACCCCATGGACTCCCCCTATATTTCATTTGATTTGTTATATTGTCCCATACATGAATACATATGGTTTAGGGGTGGGGATCTCGACCATTTCCAAGTTCTCAAACAGGAGGGGGTGGGGTGATCCCAGGGACTCCCCAAATATTTCATTTGATTTGTTATATTGTCCCATACATGAAAAGATATGGTTTAGGGGTGGAGATCTTGACTGTTTACAAGTTCTCAAACAAGAGGGGGTGGGGTGTCCCCATGGACTCCCCCTATATTTCATTTGATTTGTTATATTGTCCCATACATGAATACATATGGTTTAGGGGTGGGGATCTCGACCATTTCCAAGTTCTCAAACAGGAGGGGGTGGGGTGATCCCAGGGACTCCCCAAATATTTCATTTGATTTGTTATATTGTCCCATACATGAAAAGATATGGTTTAGGGGTGGGGATCTTGACTGTTTACAAGTTCTCAAACAAGAGGGGGTGGGGTGTCCCCATGGACTCCCCCTATATTATATTTGATTTGTTTTATTGTCCCATACATGAATATATATGGTTTAGGGGTGGGGATCTCGACCATTTCCAAGTTCTCAAACAGGAGGGGGTGGGGTGACCCGAGGAACTCCCCATTTATTTCATTTGATTTGTTTATTGACCCATACATGAATATATATGGTTTAGGGGTGGGGATCTTGACTGTTTACAAGTTCTCAAACAGGAGGGGGTGGGGTGTCCCCAGGGACTCCCCCTATATTTCATTTGATTTGTTTTATTGTCCCATACATGAATGTATATGGTTTAGGGGTGGGAATCTCAACCATTTCCAAGTTCTCAAACAGGAGGGGTTGGGGTGACCCCAGGGACTCCCCATATATTTCATTTGATTTGTTGTCCCATACATGAATATATATGGTTTAGGGGTGTGGATCTCGACCGTTTACAAGTTCTCAAACAGGAGGGGGTGGGGTGACCCCAGGGACTCCCCCTATATTTCATTTGATCTGTTTTATTGTCCCATACATGAATATATATGGTTTAGGGGTGGGGATCTCGACCATTTCCAAGTTCTCAAACAGGAGGGGGTGGGACGACACCAGGGACTCCCCCAAATTATTTTCATTTGATTTCTTTTATTGTCCCATATAAGTATATATATTGTTTAGGGGTGGGGATCGTGACAGTTTACAAGATAAAAGTACATTTTCAAACTGAAGGGGGTTGGGATGCCCCCCAGGGACTCACCCTATATTTTGGTTGATTTTTTTTTTATTGTCCTGTTCTCATTACTGAAGACTGCATGTGTCTATCACTTACTGTTTTCGAGAAAAAGTCATTTGAAAATTAAAAAAAAATAAAATCCCATAGGGTTCTATAGTAAAAACCTCCCTTCTTCAGTCCCCTCCAAATACCCCTAAATAGACCCCAATGCACAAACAAAAGATTAATGACTCCGCTAGACATGTTTGTCTAATATTTTATGAAACCCTAAGTAAATCTGACAAACAGTCAAAGTTGTCTTCTTAGACGGTTGATTGGATTCAGTCCGACTTGTCTCGGGGACGAGTTGTCCACATTACTTAAACACCCCATTCAACGTCTGCATCTGTTGCATGACCTCGTTTCATTCATAAAATAACAACAACCTTATTTGGCAAGATAGGTTAAGAATTACCGCCCACTTACATAACTTTATTTCCTCTATCATAGAGATTTGTTGTACATGAACAATATACCTGCGCATTTTGCCATTTGGGAAATTTAAACGACTTGTAATTACCGATTTTCGGCGATGAAATATTTCATACAATTGTTCTTTGACATCGTAGACAAAAGCACAGGGGATAATAAACTACGTACGGATTTCTTTTGAGCACTACTTCCTATGTGCAACTTCAAAAGTTTTGGGTAGTTCGACGATCATTTAAGGTTTTTCTGGTCATATTTTTTGTATTCCAGAAATAAAAGTATTAAAAAAATGTCCAATTAGTTATAAATAACATAATAGCCAGCTAGATAATAACAATGGCACGTATTTCAGCATCTATTGGGTAGAACACAAATCTAGGGTGCTCGCATAAGGCAGCTTAACTGCCTAAAAATGAAAAATGTGTCAATGGGACACAGATGATGCCCCTGCTTTCATATAACGTTATAAAGGGACATAACTAGAGAACTGTAACAGTGACGCAACCCAAATTCGAACTTGATCTGAGCTTTGTGGTAATCAGCATTATGTATAAGTTCATAACATTTGGTTGTAGCAAACTAAAGTTCAATAACAGAAACGGAAAATTCAGCAATTTTTTTCCATTTGTAAAGGGGCATAACTCTAGAAAGGTAATAGTGATGCCACCCAAATTCAATCTTGATCTGTGTTTTGTGGTAATAAGCATTGTGTGTAAGTTTCATAATGTTTGGTTGAGGCAAACTTAAGTTAGAAAACTTATTTTGGGATGTACATACAGATGTACATACAGATGGACGTACAGATGGACAATGGTAACATTTAATGCCCCCTCTGCTGCAGCGTGGGCATAAAAAATATTACTAGCATATCTTCTAGCATAAATGACTTGCAGTCTCTTTGTGCTTATTAGCAAATGTGTAAAGTTTTTAAATTATATTTCAACTTCAGTTATTGTGCAAAAACTTAAAAAAAAGTTGTACACAATGAATCTAGGTCTATAGTTATGGAAATAGTTTCATTATAAGCATCCTCAAATGAATTCAGCAACTAGTTTGAATAATATTTTTAAAAATACGAGTAATCCAATTAAAAAATCATAAGGGTAAAAATTTTTTGAATGAAATTCTAAAATAAGCACAACCATATGTGAAAGATCAACTTTTTAACAATATTTTGAATAATAACCCTAAAAAGGCAAAACAGATGTACTTACTATAATGTAGAGGACACTTGATTCATTCTCAAATCTATGACTTTCAGTGAATCATCTCTAGTACAACATAACAACTGGGAACGATCTGAAAAATATTTCATAATTCTGTTTTGGAATATTATTCTCTGGACTTTTGTAGACAGTGAAGTCAAACGAGAAGTATTTGTGTTTGGATAATAATAATAATAATAATAATAATAATAAGAAAGAACAGAGTTCCAATGTCCCCCACGTTGCACATATTTTATCTATCCAAGGTACAAGGGCAATAACTAAAAAAAACACTTAGAATCTTAGAGAAATGAAGGCTTCAGAGCAAATGCAGTGTGATTTCGTTAAAAATATTTTATCAGCTCTTATTTTCAAAAGTGTCAAAGACATTGCTGATATAAACCTATGATATAAGTTTCATAAAATTCTGGCAATAATTGTACAAATGAGAGCGCTGCCGATGCAATTTTCCATATAATAAATATTTCCAAGGGGTGTAACTCTTTTAAAAATAATTGATCAGCACTGATTTTTGAACTCGTCAAAGACATTGATGATATAAACCTATAATATAAATTTCATAAAAATCTGGCAAGAATTGTACAAATTAGAGCACTCATAAGGCAATTTTCCATATAATTAATGTTTCCAAGGGGCATAACTCTTTTAAAATTAATTGATAACCACTGATTTTGGAACTTGTCCAAGACATTGCTGATATAAACCTATGATATAAGTTTCATAACAAGAATCTGTCCATAGTACACGGATGCCCCACTCGCTCTATCATTTTCTATGTTCAGTGGACCATCAAAACTCTAATTTGGCATTAAAATTAGAAAGATCATATCATAGGGAATATGTGTTCTAAGTTTCAAGTTGATTGGACTTCAACTTCATCAAAAACTACCTTGACCAAAAACTTTAACCTGAAGCGGGACAGACGGACAAACGGACGGACGAACAAAAGGACGAATGAACGAATGAACGAACGGATGAACAGACCGTAAAACATAATGCCCCTCTACCATCGTAGGTGGGGCATAAAAATCTTGCAAGAATTGTACACGACAGAGCGCTAACAAGACCGGAAAGACGCACAGATGGACTGACTGACGGACGGAGGGACGCCCGTTATTTCTATGTCCCTGGCAACATTTTGCGCGGGGGACAATAATAATAATAATTTTATTGTATTTGTATTCTGAATGACATGACCTAATCAAATGTAAAAATATTCAGTGCAAATAGTCCTTATTAAGGACAAATAAGAACTTTAAATAAGGTTTTGACTACAAAGGAGGAGCAGTGTTCAAGACATCTCTTCTGTTAATAAGAAAAATTATAGTAATGTTCTTGTAAAAAAGTGACAAAGTCAGATGGTTTTATAATCAACAATTATATTACCTAACAGAAAAGATCAAGTTGGTTCATATCAATTATTTTTTTAGCTTTAAATCTTTTTTGTGATTAATTTATACTTTCTTGAAATGAAGACAAGGACAATGTAGTGTCTGCTTTTTGAGAAAAACAAATTATTGGTAAGCAACTTATAACAAAATAATACTTTGAAGATATATATAATTAATATTTTAGCGCAGGGTGATATTTTCAAACTCCATTTCTGGTAATCCATTTGTATTAACTTGTCTAAACATAAACTGTCTGAATCATAAAATAGAACAATATAGATCTAATATTTGAATTGGTTTTGGCAAATACAGCATATATCTTCTTATATTGTTATCTTTCATATCTAACATCAGTGTTTATTACCCGTGGATAGATCTAGTGAAGTCAGTCGACCCTGAAGTATAATTTCTGTGTTACTTGAATCAGTACGACTGTCCCAGAATCTTAATCTCTTGTCAAAATGTCCACTGATGATGTTTGAGCCTTGCAAGGTCACTAAATCATTGCAACTTGACCCAGCAAAAATTGTTTTGATACCTAAAACAGATGGAGATAAAATATTAGAAAGAAATCTACATCACATTTCTATTATATTCTATAGAGAAAGCATTGTTAACAGTTCTTCAGTGAAAAACCCAAAAGACAAAGATTTCAGTTCTATTATGTGTGAACCTTCTCCTTTTAGGAATGAGCATATTCAACATAATATCCTCATTCATATACAATCTTACTGCTGATTTTTAGGAGAATTTTAAAAAACTTTTTGAATTCATTTTCCATAGGGTCCGGAAGAGCAGTTTATTTGTATTTTCAAAATCCAAACTATATAGTAGTCAAAATCTTAAATTCCAGTTCATTTCCATAATCACAAATTCAAAAAAGAATTATCATATCACCCTCCATGAATAATATGACTCAATCTGTTAAATAATGTCCTAGAAGAATTACAAGCTGTGACATGTATTTGTCATAGATTTGTATGTTAAAATAATATTCAGTACAAAAATTGTTTTCAGATTAGAACCAAAATCACAATTATGACAACATACGATCATCAATGCATATTTACTCATTCTGTACATAAATATACAGGAAGAAGCTGCCTATATATATTTTACCATATGATCTTGTATTACACAAACTTAAACTATGGCAGCCATCTTAGATATCAGATTGGCATCAAATGAATTTTTTTTGTTGGACTATAACAGAATCATCAACACATAATAAAATCCTGTCTTTGAGATGGTATCCAAGCAAAATGTATTTACCTTTAAAAAAATTCTATGTTAAACTTGTCTGTTCCTGTCATCTTGGATTTAAGTATAGAAAAGAAAAGGCTAGGCAGTTTGGATATAATTGCTGACTGATACTAGGAAAGGACATTGTTTGTAACATAATGGAGGCTTGTTATTTTGAACACTGTCCATAGTTACTGGTACTTACAAGCTATTCTCGTGAGGTCCCAGATTTTTAAGGTCCTATCATGACTACCAGATACAATTTTGCTACAGTCTCCTAAAAACTTTGCAGCTAATACTTTACCACTATGTCCAGTTAATGTACTCTGGAAGTAAAAAATAGACATATTAATATTTCATTTCAGCCTGAAAATACATAATAATACTTTAACTACTTACTCGTTTTGAGACTTGTTTTCAGTATAATGATAACCTAAGGTTTTTACATTAGCTCATTTGAAGATGTTTATCCTAATCCACGATAATCTTTCCAGCAGAACATGGATAACACATAGAATGTTAACCCTTTCAATGCTACACAAAAAAATAGAACAGTATATTCCTTTTCAGACTGCTGTATTTTTTTTATTATTAGAGATACAGACAAAGATAGTGCATGAAAAATGCTCAGGAGAGCATGAACTGTAATGTTATGCAATTATTTTAGTAAAATTTTCATCAAGCTACTTGCATTTTCAGGTAATTAACAGGTAAAAGGTGTAAATTATTGTATTTGTGTTGAATTTTGAATAAAAACAACTTTTAATCTTCATTTATTTTGTTGTTTTATCTGCCATATAATAAAGAAGACACCAGTTGCTCGATTCCATAGCGTATTTGCACCATACACAACGTATAATGTAAACGTGGCTCAAATAAGTCGCTCCGTCCTCAAAATTTTCAATCAACCTTTGTTTCCCCCCTTTTCTACGTCTCGTAAAGATCAACCAAATCATATTTCCCACACGAATTGAATGTAATTAACACATTGAGATAACAGGAAACCTGTTAACTATTCCTCGTTTTCTCCTCAGTTTCGCCATAGAAATGATGAAATATTTTCATATTTACAGCGTCTTTTTCGATTTCTGCCATTTGCATTTGTCAAAATTTTTGTTTTATTTTTCTTCTACTGCATGCTTTTACCATTAAAATTCCCATGATTTCAAGCGCAAATGGGACCTTATATATTCTAGATTCAAACGAGGAAAAAGGACCCGAATGAAAACCGAATAGTTACGAGTCAGGATGAAAAATCCATCGTAATTGCGACATATGCCGCGAACAGCAGTGGCGTGTGGATTACGTCATCGTGGCATATGCCGTGTATAGCGTTGAAAGGGTTAAATGTCTTTGATAATATTATAACTTTTCAATAGTTTATTGCATAATAGTTTTCATATGCCATCACTTTTTAATAACGAAATCTAATTTTTCAATTCCATCAGAAACACAAAAATACAATTGTAAAAGAGAAATTTAACTATTTTAAAGAACTGTTTCCTCTTTTAATAAGCAGTAGTCCAGATCATACCATTGCTGCTCCTAGCCATAACAATGACTTCAAAACTAAACTTAATTTAACTCTAGGGATACCTTAATATAATTAAGATCATTACTTACCCGTAACCTTTGATCTGTAAGTGACCAAACACGGCTAGCAAAATCATTAGATGCTCCCAATATATAGTTTTCCTGAAAACCAACAAAATAATCTGTATCATAGCTGTAAAAGACCAAGCAAGTGATATAAAATTATCTTTTAAAAATTCAGTCTTAGATTTCATATAATTATATTTGACAAACACTTGGTTATATAAAAACAAATCAGTGTTTACACATTAGAATCTCTCACCCACTTCCTTTCCAACTGAGGTCAACTCACTGATAAAATATGTGATCTGTAAGGTGTATACATTTCTGTTCATTCAATTTAAATATCTACATGAAAATAATTTCAATCTATCATGTATAATTTCTATTTCTTTATGTTTTGGTGTTTTAAAATTTTAATTTCAGCAACCTTGGCTATATCATGGCACCAGTTTTTAGTGGAGAAAGCAAGAGTGCATGGAGAGAACCACTGACCTTCAGCAGGAAAAATGTATAATTTCTGAGCTACAATTTAAGTCAAAATACTTAAAACTACTACCTGAAATATAATCAAGCCATATGATATACACCCCTCACTACAATTCCACATACCTATATTCTGAAAATTTGTCATATCAGTGACAAATGTGATATTTAGATGATATATGTCAGATATAGCAACCAGAGGCTCTAAAGAGCCTGTGTCGCTCACCTTGGTCTATGTGCATATTAAACAAAGGACACAGATGGATTCATGACAAAATTGTGTTTTGGTGATGGTGATGTGTTTGTAGATCTTACTTTACTGAACATTCTTGCTGCTTACAATTATCTCTATCTATAATGAACTTGGCCCAGTAGTTACAGTAGAAAATATTTTGTAAAAATTTCAGGGCAGATAGATCTTGACCTAATGAACAATTTTATCCTCATCAGATTTGCTCTAAATGCTTTGGTTTCAGAGATATGAGCCAAAAACTGCATTTTACCCTATGTACTATTTTTTAGCCATGTCGGCCATCTTGGTTCGCGGGCGGGGTCATCGGACACATTTTTTAAACTAGATACCCTAATGATGATTGTGGACAAGTTTGGTTAAATTTGTCATAGTAGTTTTAGAGGAGAAGATTTTTGTAAAAGATTACAAAAATTTACGAAAAATGGTTAAAAATTGACTATAAAGGCCAATTACTCCTTAAGGGATCAACTGACCATTTTGGTCAAGTTGACTTATTTGTAGATCTTACTTTGCTGAACATTATTGCTGTTTACAGTTTATCTCTATCTATAATAATATTCAAGATAATAACCAAAAACGGCAAAATTTCCTTAAAATTACCAATTCAGTGGCAGCAACCCAACAACAGGTTGTCTGATTCATCTGAAAATTTCAGGGCAGATAGATCTTGACCTGATAAACAATTTTACCTCTTCAGATTTGCTCTAAATGCTTTGGTTTCAGAGATATAAGCCAAAATCTACATTTTACCCCTATGTTCTATTTTTAGCCATGGGGGCCATCTTGGTTGGTTGGCCGGGTCACCGGACACATTTTTTAAACTAGATACCCCAATGATGATTGTGTCCAAGTTTGGTCACATTTGGCCCAGTAGTTTCAGAGGAGAAGATTTTTGTAAAAGTTAACGACGATGGACGACGACGACAACGGAGCCAAGTGATGAGAAAAGCTCACTTGGCCCTTTGGGCCAGGTGAGCTAAAAATGAAGTCTAAAAATTGTTGATCCATCCTGTACAATTAATGAATAGAGCTAATTCTGAAAAATTAACTGGACCAATGGACTACTCCTTGCAAACAATATTGTTGACCAATATAGTTGGAAAGTAAGTAAATTGTATAGCTATTATACATAGTATTGTTGAATAAACATACCTGTCAACCTCTGAAAATGAAAATGCAGGTCATGACCTGCATTGATGACGAAAGTGTCAGGTCATACTGCGTACAAACTTTAATCGGCTGAATTTTAGTTTTAAGAGAGTTTCTTTATCTTCCAAAATATATACCAGTTTCCTATCAATATTCACAATTGTGAAGTATTTGCTGAAAATTATTTAAAATTTCAATTTATGTTTTTATTTTAACTTCATTATATTTGTTAAATTTTTATTATCAATCAGATATCAATATAAAGCAATGCCCTCTTATTGCTTTATTCACACTATCTTTTATTAATGAATTTTATAAACCCCAACTATAGTAAAAAATCAGTAATAGCTAATGTGCTCCTATACACGGGAGAAAGATAAAGAGAAAGAATAATTTAATGTTGTTTATATTCTTATTGATTAATTGTTGGTTGCTTAACATCCAGTGACATTTACATTCTGAGCAATATTTGTAGAGCACATGGATTTTGAGTGATGAAAAAATGAAATCAATTAAAATCTAGAATTTAAGACATTTGAAGTCTCACGGCACTAGAATAAGATGAAAACAGGTTATATTCTGAAATCTCAGTTTATTTGACGACTTGGGTAGGTACTGAAAAATCTCAGGTGAGATCTTAAATTCCTGGTTGTGACCCTTAAAACTTATGAAATTGCATTCTGAAATCTTAACCTGACCATTAAAGCATGGAAAGGATTAATGTCCAGTGACCTTGACTGGCTTACAAGGTCTCATCATAAAATACCTACATACAAATTTTTGTTATTCTAGATGGGAGTAGGGATAATTTTATTGAAGCTATAGGCAAAATTGTAAACATGGTAAAGGCAGGTGGAGGAAAAATAATACCTATGTCTCACCTTCCTCGCCAAGGCCAGCCAAAAATCCAGCCATATATGTCCTTAGTTACTGCCTGTTAACATTAATACTTTAATACTAAAATACCTTAGTTACTGCCTGTCTACATTAACAATTACACCATCCAAAATCAAGTGCCATCATTCCCTAAATGTCCCTAATCATTCCTTGTTAATTTCTACTTTTACTTCAATAATACAGTAGACATTCCTAGTCACTACCTGTTAACATCCACACTTACTTTAATACCAAAATCTAGTGCCATAATACTGTAGACATTCCAAGACATTAACACTTACTTCAAAACCAAAATCTAGTGCCATAATATCGTAGACATTCCTAGCCACAATCGTTAACATTAACACTCACTTCAATACCAAAATCTAGTGCCATAATACTGTTGCCGTTCCTATCCACTACCTGTTAACATTAACTCTTACTTCAATACAAAATCTAGTTCAATAAAATCATACACAGTCCTAGCCTTAACACTTACTTTAATACCAGAATCTAGTTCCATAATAACCTAGACATTCCTAGTCACTACCTGTCAACATTACACTTAAATCAATACCATAATCAAGTGCCATAATACTGTAGACATTCCTAGTCATTAACACTTACTTCAATACCAAAATATAGTGCCATAATACTGTTGACATTCCTAGCCTTCACACTTACTGTAATACCAAAATCTAGTTTCATAGAATTATAGTTATCTCGTATCATTGTAAACTCGTACCAATGTCAACTCGTACCACTAAAAAAAAACTCGTACCAATGCAAACTCGTACCAATGCTAACTCGTACCACGGTAAATTCATACCATTGTAAACTCGTACCAACTTATTTAAATGTATTCAAATGGTGTTTAATGATGAATATATAGTTTAATTTCACTCAATACCTCTTAAGTCTGTAAAATGTATATAATCTGAAATTACACTGACCAATTTATGCTAATTTTCCTTGTTTAATTGGATAGAGAAAACCGTGGCAGATTGGCTTTGTTGTCTCCCTTGAACAGACCCTTTTTTTTACTTTTACTGACAACTATTTGATTTAATTTTTAATCATTCCAAATAAGTAACATTGAATAGATTTGGGTATTTTTCTATTGTTTCTAAAAGGAATTTTATTTAATGAGAGAATTTATTTCTTGTGTTTTAAAGGTTTAAAATTGGTTATGACCAACAGTTAGAAAGTATGAAATTTATTTTTATACAATATTCAGCTCATTGTTGCACAAAATCATGATTAAGACCATGCTTTAATTCATATAATCAAAAGGTCATTATAATTTTCCCGATTTATATACATGTATAACACCTGTAGCCGAAGATACACCTCGCTCCAGCAACAGAGGAAAATAACTGATATCTGAAAAGGCACCTGAGATCACCCTCAGTTTCAAGTGGGGTTCGTGTGGCTTTTAATTCCAAGCTGTTAAATTATATAACAACAATCAAAATTTAATAATATGATTAACAAGTTGACTAGTTAATAATAACCCAATAATCATACAATCAAAGGAATTTAATATATCAATTAGCATGGTAATTAAGGAATTACATTCGTATTTTTGTCTAAGTTTTCATTAAAATCTGGTATAAAATTCAAGTAATTCAACTTTTTTATTAATATTACAAAAAAAATCATAAAACATTCGTATTTTTGAATATATTTTTAATGGTACGAGTTCTGAATGGTACGACTTCCCAGTGGTACGAGTTTACGTTGGTACGAGTTAACTTTTTTGGTACGAGTTTACATGGTACGAGTTTACAATGGTACGAGTTAACTTGCTTCCGTTTCATAATACCGCTGACATTCCTAGTCATTAACTCTTACTTCAATACCAAAATCTAGTCCCATAATACTGTAAACATTCCTAGCCACTACCTGTTAACATTAACACTTACTTCAATTCCAAAATCTAGTGCCATAATACTGTAAACATTCCTAGCCACTACCTGTTAACATTAACACTTACTTCAATTCCAAAATCTAGTGCCATAATACCCTGGTTACTTCCCGTTAATATTCCTTTACTTTGACATTTACCTAAAATATTAATAGTTATAATCTGCTAAGTTCTTTATGGAACCTGTAATTTATATACAATGTACAAGAACAAGATTATTAAGTTGTAGTGAAACATCAAAATGACAGTTTAGTATGGTCTACTAGGAATGATACAAAACAATCTAACCAAGTATGAAAGCTTTCTGGTAAATAGCCTCAGAAGAGTTGCAAATGAATTGAATTATTGACTTGCAAGCCACGTGAATTAATGTGTTGTTCGGTCACAGTTGAATATTTTTCTCTATTTGAATTCTTCGATTAGTTATTCTATAAATAGTACTGTTTTATTATTATTGAATAACATTGTGTACTGTTAAATTATTTATTGAATAAATCTAGAATGGTTAAAGTGACGCCACCAAAATTCAAACCTGATTTGTGTTTTGTGGTAATAAGCATTGTGTATAAGTTTCATAATATTTGGTTGAGGCAAACTCAAGTTAGAGAACGGAAACCAATTTCAGGACGTACGGACGGACGTACATACGAACAGACGGACACGGGTAAAACTTAATGCCCCACCGCTACGGCGGGGGCATAATAACATTGTTTTATTTCCTGTACTAAAAGAATTCTAGTGTTACCTCCACTAATTTCCCATAACTTGATCTTTCTGTCTGAACCCCCGGTTGCAAACAAAGTTCCAGATGGACTCCATTTAATAGCATTAACTTCCCCATCATGGGCCTCCTATAACATATCCAATATTAGACATTAAGCATGCTTTTTAGTCTGTGGACCAAAAACTTGGTAATAACTACATATGGAAGTTCAACAGTGCATAGAATCCTTCAAATACAGAACAAACATAGTTTTAAAAGTTTATTATAAGCAGCTATTCTTCAGATTACTAAACCAATTTTTTAACATTTTTGAAATAATTTCAATGGATAATACATGTACAGTTTTGAGTCAGGAGGAAAAGTGCTTTTGATTAAGACGACAATATTTGAAATAATATTTCATTTTTATTGAGGGGATCAACGCCTATTAGGACTTATATAAGGTCCATACAATAAACACTGTACATAGAAATAATAAATGTATACAGTATTTGTTCAAATGAAAGGTGTTATACTTACAAATTTGTGCTGTGCTTTATTTGGTAAGGAGACACTAAGACAGAGGGGAACAATACCTGGGACATAAACACCTGCTTCACTGTAAAGACAAATAATATATAATATGAATTGTATCAATATTGAAGTAAAAGACAAAGAAAACTGAAATAGTGACATGCTTAAACCATTTACAATAACATACTTGGACGAAGTCATATGATTATCTCTTACTTTTATCTTATTTTTATACAATATATTCATATTTTACCACCGGTGTGTACTCAAAGAGTTTGAAGAATGTCACATTAGAATAACGATTACTAACCTTTCTGGTCTGATTTCAACAGGTTCTTTTGCTGCCTCAATAAGTTCTTTTTGTAACTTGGCTTGTCTTTTTCTGAAAAAAAAAGTTCCATTAAATTTATGTGATAAATAACAAACAAAAACAAAAGCACATACCTAACATCACTAAGCAAGCTGTTATTTAACATCCACATGTAACATGTGGATTTTTAAAAGCATCTATTCAACAGATTTTTTTTTAATTTCGATTTTCATTGAAAATATTACAAATTACAGACATTTAAATCTCTTGTAACTTATTTTGCCTTGATCTGACTGCATGATTTGACATTTATCTTATTATTGAAGATTTTAAGCAAATATTCTTGTTCTTAATAATGAAAGTTCTAAAACATGTTATGAGATTTCTATGTACCGGTACTTCCATTTGTTGTTAATGGTGCTTAGGATTTTATGTAGTGTAGATCCTGCCCATATCTAACTTTTATTCAATAAAAACAATCAATTCCCAAAAAATATTGAAATATTATTGTCAAAATATTACAAGCAGTAGTGTTCATTTTACTTTTCTCTAACAAGAAGACAGAACTGTACAGTCAAACACACCATTCTACAGCCCTTGTCTACTTACAATAAATTGATTTCTTTATCAGTTAATAAGGTTCTTTGAAAGGTTAAAATCTCATGTGCCAGAAGCATGTTACCTATATGAAAATATTTTTATAACTAAATAAGGATGTACCCTTGACCTAATAGTTGTACAGATAGTAGACAAACAGTAACAAGTATCGATGGCCTACTTCAATTGGTCCAACTACGATTGAAAAGATAATGAAATATGTGTGCAACCTTCCCAAATCGAGTGAAATCTCTGCTCGGGATGACTCTCTAAATTGAAGGCAGAATTATAGCAGCGGTTATTAATTCTTTTCATGAATGTCAACAATGAACAAATTTGTAACATAATTAATTTAAAGAACTTCTATCATTCATTCATATTGATTCTTATCAGGCAAGTATATTCATTTTCAAAAAGACTCCTGCATTGTCGTCCACTTAGTAAAATGAATGGATTTTCGTAAAAAATCACATTTAACTCTTAGTAACACAAAGTACCAAACTATATGTTTCTGTTCTATTGATAAACATCACTGACAGTATATATATTTACATAGGAAAAATATTTGTTAATGCCAAAATAGTCAAAAAATAAGTTTCTCTTAACAACCCTCTTTGGTTGTATTTAGTTAAATGTCAGTAATTCTGTACCATACTCCTCTTTGCTGTTCTTGTTTGTAAGTTACTTATATGTTATATAAGTTATGTTTATACATAGTTTGATTTCCATTACACTCAGTAGTCATTATTTTAGGATTTTCCCAGGATTTTTTGTTTTCTTTACTATTGAGAAGAAACAGATTTATTATCATATCTTAATCAGCTACATGTGAGTTTATCAGGTGTTCTTAGCAGGGTGGTTTAATTACATCAGTTCCATTACAAATATACATGTTTTGTTAATTAGTGACCACTTGTGGCATCTGGCTTTCCTTTATCCTTTGTTTGTTTACACATAAACTTGGGTGTAGTTTAGCTCCTCCCAGTTAGGAATATCCCATTAAGTAGTAGTATTGAAAACCAGTACATGCTGCCTTTAGTGTCCAATTTTTTCAATGCAGATTAAGCAGTTAAAAGAATAATTTTTGCTCAAAAAGTGGCTTAGCTAAAAACTTGCCTCCCACCAACCCCAACCTTACACCTTCAATATTGCCATGACAGGGGAATCAATCTCAGCACAGTTTATATAAGATTCTTATTGATTTTTCTGTATATGTATATGTCACAATAGTGCTTAAAAAAATTTCATTCCAACACCAGTTCATATCAGTAGATCTCAGCAACCAGTAGTGCAAAAATTACTTTTAGGAGCTATGTTGGATTGGTGTGATGTCAAGGCAGGGGTCCATACTTTGCTACTTTTCAGTATGCACATGTACATAGGCTGCTGGTTTAGGCATAGATCAGATAAATAACCTCAGCATCTGAAACAAGTCCATCATGTTTGGACATTTATGAAATTTTATCACTGGTTGTTTCAAAAATTTCACTCATCCCCCAAGAATTTCTGGGGATAAACTGTCAAATTTCATACAAATTCATTCCAACACCAATTCAACATCAACACTACTTGGCTTCCTCATAGCCACATACTAGGCTTCCTCATAGCATCATTATAGGCTTCCTCATAGCCTCATAGGCTTCCTCAGACATAGCCTCATAGGCTTTCTGATAGCCCCATAGGCTTCCTGATAGCCTCATATGCTTCCTGATAGCCTCACACATTTATTTGGAACCATAGATCCAATTGGATTGGTGTGATGTCAAGCCAGGGGTCTTTACTTTGCTACTTTTCAGTACGCACATAGGCTCTTGGCTTAGGCATGGAGCAAAAATTTTAATTTTAGCTGAGTAGATTCCCCAAGGGCAGTACCTATAGAAGATATAACTCAAGACCATCTTGTATTATTTGTGAATTCGACACTGAATATTTATGCACTGGTATTCACATAAGCTAACGTGCATGGTTATTGACAATAGCATATATATGGCAGATATTGTATTCATTTCTTCATCTTCATGTGATAACTTTGATTTATTTCTTTAGTATAATATCTATATTTTATAACAATATTTTATAACATATACTCCACTTACTGCCAAATTAATTTCATGATCTTTTTACCATATATTTCCTTGCATTATGTACAAAGAGAAACAATTATGTTGTTACAGTTATATGGCATCTTCATAATTAAAGTCAATCGAAATTGTGTTTTTTTTGTTTTTTGTTTTGGTAAACACAATTGGTAAATGGAGTATTTTAGATTGATTGATTGATTTGTGGTTGCTTTACGCCGCCTCAGCACATAATGGCGATATCACGGCGATAAATGAATTAAGAACAAATAACTTGTGAACATATAAGTATAAACAGTTTATCTAAATGTTAATAATTCTAGAATACTGTGATATGGGTTTAATCATTACTATGCCAGCTTTACAGATAGATACTTACATAACAAACAATTTTATATTTTATAACAGCATTTGATATATTGTGAAAACTGACACCTTTCTTCATTTCTTTTATTTGCATATTTATACACTGAGGGGAACAAGACATTGCACCTCCTGTATGCACATTGGAAACATCAGATGGACAATCACAAGCATTGGACTCTACCAGTTCGACATGCTTCTTTTTCTGCATAGCTGTGGCAACAGCTCGACTATATTATTTAATGCTAGTTGGATCAACACCTTCACAGACTTAATTGTTAAGCTTTATATTTATCATTGCTGCTCAGTCATATATACATTATACTCTTGAACATTGATGGTATTCATATCATGTTATAAACTGTTCAATACTCTTGGATAATGACAGAGAATTCAGTACCAAGCAGTTCAGATCTCCATGGTACATACCCAAGAGAGTTTAATGTTAAATCTCAGTGCTCTAGATGTTTTACTGTTATGTAATGGGATGTTTTAAACCTGGACTAATTAAACTAGATTAACTAAATTTGGAACAAACGGACTAATACTTTTAGTTGTGGATTCAACTAAATTCATCTGTAGTAAAGGCATAATGTTCAGCAACTAGTCATATTAATCAGAGTTCATGTTCCCATGTTTTAAACAGGATACATTATCCATATTCAACCATACAAACATTAGATACTAGAGCATCCTCATTTCAACATGCACCTCTGGATAGACAGATTTTACAAACCAGACCCAGTGCAGCACAACTTTCAATGAAGTGCCCACGCAGCTCAGATGTAATGTGGTCTTAAATCAGCAGTTGATGATCTTTGGAACAGTAACATGCTAATACTACAGGAACTGTTTATGACACTGGGTTCAGAAGTTTGAGACCTTTATGTTATATTGAATGGATTATAATTTACTAGTTTACCTGCTGTTTCTGAGGATTTTATAATATTGCTTTAAATTCTGAGTTTACTATACTCTACCATTAGTTTGTATTTATGTAGAATAAGGTAAAGGTATCTGCAAGGTAATAAAAATTATCCTTTGCTGTCAGAAAGTAATACACCATAATTAGGCTTGAACATGTTTTAAATTCTGTAAATATACTGCAAAAACCAAGATATATCAGATTACCGTAATTTTGATTTTAGAGAAAATGGTAATTGTCTGCAAAAAGTTTTTTTTTTTCAAGTTTACTGATTTGATGTTTAAAGAACTGCATGCTTTGTAGCTTTTATGGATTTTTTTTTTTTTCTTTTTTTTTTTTTTTTATAGATGTGGCAAGTTTACATTTTCAAGGCCTCATATACATTTGATACAGATGTAAATCTATGCATTATAGATGCTGCTTTTCACTCCAACTTAGTAGTTTTAAAATTAAAAAAATATCAAAAACTGTTCTGTTTAGAAAGGGCATAAGCATTCAGCTACATAAATTATGGCTTAATTAATTAAACTAATACTTATCTGCCAATACAAGATTTTATTAGAATTTATACAGTAATGTAGGAATTTACTCCTATCCATCCAACTGATCCACTTTTCTTAACCATTGATAAGAAATTTTAGAAAGACATTATTTACTTATATGTTACTCAGAAAATAGCTTTAGAATAGGGACAGCTTCTAGAGCTGGAAAGACAAATAGAAGATCAAGCTGGTCTTCAGATATTTACAGTAGATGTATTTAGTAACACCAGTATCTATAAAATCTTTTCAAAGTAGGTAAGGTATATATCTCAAGTTCTTCATATATATAAAAATAAGAAGAAATATGCATGAATGTTTTCAAAGTAGTTTCAGTATTGTTCTGTGACTAAAGTTTGTTTTTTATGTGTTATCATTATGTGATTATTCTTAGTTTTCTTTTACAGTCGATTCCACTTAATTGCATACCGCTTAATAGCATAATTCGGTTAATTGCATACTTTTCTCCTGCACAAAACCATTTCCCATTCATCTAATGTTAAATTGTCCGGTTATATGCATAGACTTACAAGTGGCCTTTCGGTTAATTGCATAGAAAATATTCGCCAGCTAGATATGCTTAGTTAAAACTGACGAGATTTTTGACCGGAAACGGCAATTTGGTAAGTATATTTTTCTTGAATGCATCATAATTTTCGTTATTTTTTCATATTTACTTTTGTGTTATCTAAATAAAGTTTTAAAACAGTTTCTTTCGTGTTTATATGATTATAAAATAAGCCTCGATGTGTACACAGGTAAAGTTTCCCATGTTCTATTTTAAGCCTCGAGGTCATAAAAATGTCAAACAGGTGATTGTTGTAAAAACACGTCCAATCTATCTCAAAAGGTGTTAATTATTGATTGGATTTCAAACATTGTTCATAGATTACATTTGGGGTGAATTTTAAAAACAATAACCCGTTAATTATCGATCATTATCCAATGTGTACTCTCGTAATTCGGCTTGGGGTGATCTACACTTATGTTAAATATTACAGGGCATTTATATATGGTTGAAGAATTTTATACATCAATCTTTTATTTTAATATTTTTTGAAAAGAAAATCAACTTCTAATTATTATATTTTCTCTCTTTCAACACTCGTGTCCTGCAAATAACCCGTACAGGGCCCCATTACCTGTTAACTGCTTTGCATATACGAAACTAACGAGGTTAAAGAAACAGTGTTACATCACTGTGCAAGCGGTAAATACTGCATATCAAAGGCAGTTTAGTACACATTTATTGTTTAAAATGATTATAAACTGTGTAGTATTGTTAAACAGTTAATTTAATCAAAGCGTAACAATGTACATTGTACATCCGGGTCATAGAAACAAATCTATTTTTAGAACAATTAGTTTTATTTTCGTATCTCAGGTAAAGGAAAAGTCGGTACGTAAATAAACTAAAACAAAATGTGTTTATAAACTTTATTGAAAGAATACAAAATAAAATAACATGTATAACACAAGACACATAACTTTTATTAGAATAAATAAGCATTCAATATGTTGTAAGTGGATTATGGACGTTCATCTTTCTTCAGGGATTTCCTTTACTGATCTGTACTATCGTCGTGTATCGATGTTATTTGACTCCGTAATTTGGCATTTCGGATATAAGCATACTCCGCTTAATTGCATAATTTTGTCTGACAAATAGGCTATGCAAATAACCGGAATCGACTGTATTATGTTTTGTGTGTATTTTATATATTTTTTTTTTTTTTTTTTTTTTCTCATGGTTTTATTGAAGGTATCCCCTCCCTTACATCACAAATCCTTGGGGACACTCAGCTGTTACCATCTGTGTTATGGACATTTATGATATTTTATCACTGTTTGTTTCAAAAATTTCACTCATCCCCCAAGAATTTCTGGGGATAAACTGTCAAATTTCATACAAATTCATTCCAACACCAATTCAACAGCAACACTACTTGGCTTCCTCATAGCCACATACTAGGCTTCCTCATAGCATCATTATAGGCTTCCTCATAGCCTCATAGGCTTCCTCAGACATAGCCTCATAGGCTTTCTGATAGCCTCAAAGGCTTCCTGATAGCCTCATATGCTTCCTGATAGCCTCACACATTTATTTGGAACCATAGATCCAATTGGATTGGTGTGATGTCAAGCCAGGGGTCTTTACTTTGCTACTTTTCAGTACGCACATAGGCTCTTGGCTAAGGCATGGAGCAAAAATTTTAATTTTAGCTGAGTAGATTCCCCAAGGGCCAAAATTAAGTGATGAATATAAAATAATAAAAGTTATAGTTCATTAATGATTTATGTTTCATTAGAACCTGGATACAACTGGCACTGCTACGCAATACATGTATTTACACAGAAGCTTATTTATAATGGGATAGAGCAGGATTTTGAATTATGTTGATTATATTGTTGATATGAGTACTAAATGCTTAATTTTACATATCATGAGTTCAAATGGAGAGTTCTGAAGCAAATCAGGATAATTAAAATGTTGCTTAAATTAATTGTCTTAAGAACTCATTATGTGTGACTTTGAGGATTTTGTTCATTGGGCAAACATTTCGGCAAGTTAGACTTATACTCAGACAGGTTTTTAATGTCAGGTCAAAAGATTTTTGCAAGGAGGTAACTGTTTTTCTGGATGTTTACTCAGGCGTTATATACTTTTCATTACTACAAAACACACATCCACTAACCAAAGGAGAAATAGACATGTACAGTATAAACAACAGTCACTTAAATATTAAGTACAACATTACAACAAATTATGAATGGACCTTTAGTTTATCTACAATCCAGAATCTGTACTCTAGTCAAACATGGAACAAATTACAGTCAAAAATAATCAGGACCATTTCTGAGGACTTTGTATAAAAAGTTACTTATATGATGATGGATACCTCATATCCTTTGTTTTACTATCAACAAAAGTTGGTGGAATCAGAGTAGGCCAATAATATCTTAAAAATTAGTAAGGGTTCCACGGAACCCAGTGTCTCGCCTACTTTTGCTGTTGTCTATGTTTTCAGTGTTATAGGGGAATGCACATAATAGATTTACAGTTAATGAAATAAAACGTTTGAAATGTATGAAAAAAGTTATGCTTGTAAAAAATGAATACAGTATGCAATCAAATATATAGATTGTCTGGAAGACAAAAGTCGAATGCTCAACAAAAATGGGGAAAAAATTATTATTAAAAATTTTCCTCCAGATACTCTCTTTTGAATGTAAGAAGCTTCTGTCCAAGTTTGGTACAAATCCAGGATAGTTTAAGAAAGTCATTAAAATTTTTAAAACTTTAACCACAGAGTGAATGTAATGTTAACTGGCAAATGACTGGCAGAAAAACTAAGTCCATTTATAAGTTTATAAGTAAAATACGGATAAACAGGATTTTTTTTACAAAATTTACTTCTGGATACTATCTTATGATCATAAACAAGCTTCTGTCCAAGTTTGGTAGAAATCCAGGATAGTTTAAGAAAGCTATTAAAATTTTTAAAAACTTTAACCACAGAGTGAATGTAATGTTAACTGGCAAATGACTGGCAGAAAAACTAAGTCCATTTATAAGTAAAATACGGATAAACAGGATTTTTTTTTTTACAAAATTTACTTCTGGATACTATCTTATGATCATAAACAAGCTTCTGTCCAAGTTTGGTAGAAATCCAGGATAGTTTAAGAAAGTTATTAAAATTTCAAAAACTTTAACCACAGAGTGTATATTTGTGGACGCCGCCGGAATGTAGGATCGCTATGTCTCACTTTTGCGACAAAAGTCGCAGGCTCGACAAAAAGAGTTACTGTTCAAACCTTTATCATAATTGTTTGTTATTTAAATCATATCCCCGAGGAACCAGTAATGACGCACCTAAGGTTGTTTTGTCTCTGCATTTAATCTACCATTTAAAAGAATTAGAAAAACGGAATGGAATAAAAGATTGGTAACTTGTCATTATATTTCAATCATTAAACAGTTGATATTTGAAACAGTAATAGCAATAAAATTCATGTTTGCTAACATTACAAACGAACTGCCAACTAATGATGGGTACCAGTAATGACGCACTGTAAACAAACCAGTAAAAATCACTTGCACGTAACTGATAATCGAAAAATTGCTTCAATCCGGATTCTTTAAAATTTAAACTGATCAACAGATTCAATTCTATTAACAACTTTTGATATTTTCATTCACTTTAATGATCATGATGATTGTAACACCAAATTTTTAATCAATTTAAATGTAACCTATATTTTGGTATATAATTGTTAAAAATTTATGAAAGTGATATACATATTCCATATATTTGAAAATAAAAAGTAATTGCATTCATAAAACAACATTGACAATAATACATTTATCAATGTATACTTCATACATTGAATGAAAAAAAATCGATAAACCATAGAAAATTATATAAGCGACGATCATTTGTTCTACATTGATTCCCGCTTAAATGTAAAACCATGTCACATGACAGTCACTTGATTTGAAAAACACAAAATGGGGAAGCATGCGGTTACATACTTTTCTTGACCAAAGTAGAGATAGGACTGATAATCTTTCGGGGAAGGGTAGAAATTTTTTGACCTTAATAAAATGGCAGAACTTGCATTGTCTTTAATATTTTAAGCAATAATAACATTTCTGGGCAGAGTTTTAGGCATCTTTGTTGTAGTCAGATGACCTTCAACATCATGTTATGAACAGCAAATGTTGATGACGTCACGGCTTTTGTTTAGGAATATAAAACCGTTAATTAAATCGGTGCGTCATTTCTGGTCTGCGTCAAAACAGGTACCAAGACGATACTCCTTATCTTTATTTAACTAGAAAGTTTTAACTTATCTATGCAACACTGAAGTATATTTGTGACTTTGACCTTTGAGGTAAAAATCATTTTATATTTTGTTTTTATGTGTATGTGTGTGTATGTTTATGTCTTTTAAAGCTTGAAAAGTTAGTTTCTGCACTTTGTTTATTGCCATACAAAGAATGCCCAATTTCATCATGAGTCATGCAATAAATTAGACCTAGATTTAAAAATTTCTCTGCCAGTTTGATTTTCTGGAGAAACGCACTTTTGCAGTGGCAGGAAACTTCTATCTACACCATTATCAATAAGTTTAGGACGGTCAATAATAGTTTGTTTATCATCAAAAATATAAAACACCATAATAAGATAAAATTCTAAAATTTTGAAATTTAAAGTCATAAGAACATTTGCATACATTTGCATGATTGTTTCAGAGAAGTTTTGAAAAAGCTGCAGAAAAACGACAGACACCAGATATGACATACCATATACTAGCCCTTTAGACCCTTCATGCAAAAATGATGTTCAGAAGCAAATTTCTGGATTGTAAAAACAAGAAAGATTTTTTAACAAATATCATACTTTATCTGAATATCATTATCTTCATTCATTTTGTCTGCATCTCTTGCTTTTACATGCATCCATCTAGTAATTAAATCAGCATTTTCATCCTGAATTTTTCTGTACTTTTCTTCCATGGCGGTAAATGCCAACCCTAAAGCCTGGTGTTCATCTTTTAACATCTGGAATTAAAAATCTTTTCTACACATAGTAACATGGAAGGTTCGAGAAGACTACAGAAATACAAAAAACACAAATTTTCAAATAATTTTCTTTGTCCTTGGGTCAGAAAGTTTTTTTGTTTGAATAGTTTCACAGATTGTCATTTTGAGGCAATTTACTGACAAGTTACCCTCATTGTTGAAAGCTGAACAGTGACCAATAGTTGCTTAAATCCACCTCATTTGAACAAGTGGAAAGTTGTTTAATTGGCATTCATACCACATCTCCTTATTTTCTAATAAGAAAACTTAATAAGAGGGGGGTCGTGGGTTGAAAACCCTAGCTGGGTCAAATCAAAGACTTTAAAATTGGTATTTGTTGCATCTCAGCTAAGCGAGCGGCATTAAGAAGTAAGAGTAAAGCCTGGTTAGCTCGGAATCAGAGTAGTGTGTCTAGGTAGGGTCACATGTCATCCTGCAAAGTGTTACCTTGTGAACTAGCACACTATAAATCTGGCTCAGTGTGTCAGTCTAAGGGTTTAAATATATATGTACAGATAGTGATGCAATTGTAAACCAAATATCAATGATGCATCATAAGTATTTATGTAATGATACTATTAAGAAAACTTAACATTAGGTTTTGATGATGTCCTATGCCTTGTTTTATGTCATTTAACACAGGTGTCACTGTGATGCAAAAATTTAAGTGTTTGTTTAAGACTCAAAACATAAGTATCATTTGCTTGGTGTAAAAAATATTTTATTATGAAATCTACAAATTACAATATATATTCACATTCACAAATAGGATTCAGAAATAAGCAACAAGTGCTTATGTTAATCTGTTTCCTCCAGTATAATCTACAAAAATAGTAACACTAAAAAATATTTCATCCACACACAATTCCTTCACATCTGAATCCATTCCAACTATATGTCAACTATAAGAATTTTGCACTGGCAAACTACAACAAATATAATGCTGTATGGGTTTTGTTCCTTGTTGAAAGCCGTACAGTGAACTATACCTGTAGTACCTTTCATCTATTTAATTGGGTCTCTAAGGGATAGCTGTCTCATTGGCAATCATAACACATCTTCTTATTCTAAGTCCATGTTTTTTATATCAGATGCCCAAAATAAATCTTAATTTTGCAAGAAATTATGTCTATATTAAATATGTCCTATAAACCATAAGATAGGATAAGTTTTATAATTTTTTTGAAGTCAGTATATTATCTTTTTCAAACCTTTTAATCAAAAATATTTCTAATAACAACTTGATCAGTATCTTAAATACCTGGTTAGTTTGTTCTAATTCTACGATTGTCATTTCTAAATTCTTTATTTCACTTTTTAAAGCTAGAACCACTGCATCTGTATCATGTAACCTATTAAAATAGAAAGCAATAACATTCTAAATCTATGGTAATAAAAGTTTGATTGGACAAAGGCAGAAAATATAATTGGACAAGGCAGAAAATTTAGATTCTACCACTGCATCAAGTATAATACAATATCTAGTTTCTAAAGACATTCGAGACATCTAAGTTTCAAATTAAGATTACAAGGCTTGATCTAAGTTTTTCACTGGTCAAAATTCAATTATGACGTCTAATTTTCTAGCTTTCCTCTGTGTTCTGTATTGTGATGTCACGTTATAGGTAACCATGCATGATGATGTCACATTGAAAGAACAGAATCTTTTTGCAGATTAATAAAAACAAGAAATATAAAATTTGCCTAAAAATCATCTGTAAATCACTAGAGAAACAGATTCCACCACCAAATCTTGTAAATTCAATATTTCTCAACTCTAAACGGTAGAATCTTAAATATTTAAAAGGCTTGGCAAGCCTCATGTTTATAAAATTTGGCCTTGTTACAGGCCACCTACAGATTCCCTCCAATAGTTGTTTCAAGGGTTCTTTTATATGCATAGAGCATGGCACTTTAGCTACATATGGCATCAGATTTAGCTTCCCCATTCCAACCTGATATGGCTGTGCATTTTTACGTCCTGTTCAGCATAAGAGCATTGACATTCCATCCAAACATGGCTGCATATTAATACATCCTTCACAGCCAAATCAATGCCCCATTTTGGTAAAGATGACAGAGAAACTAAGACCAAGTCCTGTGAGTACTATGGGCCTATACAAATAGAAGATTAACATGTAAAGTTCAAGTGAATTCATTAGATACATACTTGGCATCTTTGATCATTAACTCTCTTTCCTTTTCTTGTAACAGCATGTTAAGGTCTATAATCTGTTGGGAATTCTGAAAATAAAATAAACTGAGGTAATTGTACTAATTCAGAAGATAGAACTTTGTAATAAATAAAAAGTCTCTACCTACAAAACTCAAAGAGGAGTAAGAAGAGTTAGGTAGACAAAATCATGCAGAATTTTCATGAAATTTTACCAAAAGATACCACATTCAACAAGCTACCGTAAATTGGGAAATTTTGGTGTCGGGATATTTTGGCGGTTTTCACTCGAAAGGCATGTGTTTTATTTTGGTGTGTGTAATTTTGGTGCTTTGTCCATTTGATGTGTTTAATTTTGGAACAAGTGAAGTGTGCTAGCTCATTCATATTTGCCCTTATTTACCCGTTTACTTTAATTGACAAAATATCAATGACCTACACAAACTAGAAACACGACAACGTTAACTAAATGAAGGAATCGGATACGAATGCAATTGTAAGTAATTCCGTATCTTGGTGTTGAAAGCCAAAAAAAAAGTGATTTTAAATAGATTATTTATTTTTTACAAAAATCATGTGAAATAAATTTTAATCATTATGAAATAGTTATACACCGAGGGATAGGTGTGTCTGGATAAGAAACCCCAACGGCCGAAGGGGTTTCTTATCCAGACATGCCGTATCCCGAGGTGTATAACTAACTTACACCCAATGCTAAACCCTATATTTGTTAACATTGATTATTAAATGAAAAATAATGGATAGCATATTTATTGACAAAATCGAACCATGAATTATAAGAAAAATATTTTTTTTTTACATGTAACCCCACTAGTAACCTTACTTTGGCTATGTTCTTTCAAACTTTGACAAGTGAGTAGATTTTACAAATGGCAAAGTTGCTGTTTTGCATATTCCCGTTAAATCCTGGTGCTAATATGGATCAGAAGTTCAAGGTTGGCCGTTTCGTGCATTCTTATCACAAAAAAAAATACATCATGCTCCTTGTATGCAGTTGTCAATATGGACGGGTACATATAAGACGGACGACATTTTGAGTCAAGCGTTGGATTTGGTAGAAGAGACTAAAGATAAAGGCAATATTATAACCCAAAGTACTTACCTGTGTCAGTTAAATGAAGGTAATCATAAATGTATTTTTTATGTTACGGTTTTATAAAAAAAAAAGAAAAAAGAAGCCCCCCTCCCCCTTCTCGAGAATAAACAAACATTCATATTCAGACACACTGAGGGATAGGTGTGTCTGGATTAGAAACACAACGACCGGGATCCAGGGGGGGGGGGGGGGGGGTCTGGGAGTTAGAATCCCTGTTTTTTTTAAGATCAATGCTTTAGAATAGAGACAAATGATTGGGATCAAAAATTTTACCTTCAAGCAAAGGAGTATTTAGGGAGCAACCATTTAAACTTCAAAGGGGTTTGGGGGGGTATGGTTTTTGTCGGAGTCAGAAATTTTTTTTCTCGCAAATCGAGAACAATTTTATTTAGTTTTTCAACGCTATCAATCAAATTATTTTTCCCTTGAAGGATTTTTTTATTCAAAATAGATGCTTAATATTTATTTCGCTATTGGAATTTCCTAAAATGTGTTTTTTAATATCTTGAAACAACTTGCAGTGAACACTATTAGTAATTGCTTATGTTCATGCTATTTAAAAAATAATCAATTTCTATTGTAATGAATAACAATGGACTTTGTTTTCGGGATGTAGAAGCAGGGGTTTCCAGAAACCCCGCTCGTCACACCCTGTGGTCAAAATCCATTGTTATTCGTAACAATAGATCTATTCAATTTACACTTGTTTCAGAAATAGAAACTATGAAGTATAACAATAGAACTGGGGTGTAACTCTATTGCAGTACATGTTAATGATTGACGATCAAGGATTTTTAAAATTTTTAATCCTTATGCCTCTGGCAGTACATGTTAATTAATAGAAGATAAAATAATACAAGGAGTTTTGATATTCTAATTACCAATAACGGCGTCAAATCAGCAATAGCCTGGCATATTTATGACATGTGTGAATATAACTTCATATTGTGTTTTCTTAACAATTTCAGAAAATTGACAATTAAGTAAAAATTATATATTGTTGTCAAATTATACCCGGGAATTATAGGAAATATATGGAAGATATAATAGCATAAGATATTTTCTACAACAATTAACATTACGATATTGTCGTACCGGTTCGCGATTTTGGCATTTCAATTTTTAGTGTTTACTTTATTTTCTTGTGTTTAATTTTGGCACTTTCATTGGAGGCACCAAATAAACCAAAATAAAACTACAACCAAAATAACCCAATTTAAGGCACAATTTTTCAAAAATATCAACAAAATTAAAATTGTGACATTTCCCATGATTTTGTCATGTTTGCTATCTGTACAAATACCTTGTAAAACAAAAAGAGTTTCTAGCTTAACACAGTAAGATGAGTACTGCAAATATTCCATGTACACTAAATGTGGATGGCTGAACAAAGTATGGTGACTTATAGTTGCTTATTATCAATCCAAATCATTTGGACTCTGTTGGATAGTTGTCCCATTAGCAATCTTATTACATCTCTTTATTTTAAATAGACAGATAGACAGACAGCAGTAAAAAAATATATCTAAATTTTCTTAATATAAATTCTTCAAAGACTTTGATACCTCTCCTCTTTTTTTGTGGAGTTCTGTAAGTTCTTCTTGTAACTTGTACAGTTTTTGGACATCTACTGAATGACTCTTGTCATTAAAACCAGGACTATTTGCACCACTGAAACAGAAGACAAATATTTTTACGACACTAAAGGCAAATGTTATGGATTATTGCATACTGGTATTATCCAGAGAAGAACATGTGGTCTTTTTAAGTGTGATATTATTTTCTGTGGCAGATATTTATATGTACTATGTCAGAGATATAAACCATACACCAAATTAGTAACAATGGTTTTGCTATATAATTTCATCAAAAGGAGTTTATTTTTTTGTACAGTCAAATTAATCAATGAATGATTGTTTTTTTTTTAAGGAGAAATTTAAAATTCCCATTGAATGAACTCCACAGAGAACAATAGCTATTGCATTTATTCAATGGGACAGTTCACTTTGCGAAAAATTTAAATTACTTCAGGGGAAAGGTTTTTTTTCCTTCGCAAGAATATGATTCCCGTTAGAACTCACACATTTCAGCATGATTGTTTGTTAATCATGACAGTCGTCAGTGAAAGAATTGTAAACATGGTAAACAATAGTATTTGGAAAAAGTGCTGGAAATCACTTTTGATATCAATACACAGCTTGTACCAAAATTTATTTACACAAGCATAAGATACTGAAAAAAAAATGGTAATAATTCTTATAAACTGCTTCAATTTGGTATCTTATCTTTTCACATAAATTCATAAATAATGCTATTTTATAATTTTTATTTACAAAGGAATTATATGCAATTGTATATTTAAAATTAGTCTTTAATCAAGCAAGCCATGTCATTTGAATATATCTAAATATTAAAATAAAATATAACAACATGTACATTGACAGAACTTACATTTCTTGCCACTCTTGCATACTTAATTCACATGAAGTTACAAACAATTCAATGATTAATTATAATATACTTCCTTTAATAACTTCCCTATTTATTATAGTTCTAAGGGCAGATACATGTACTTGAGCAACAATGTAAAAAGTTGGCACAACCCACAAATGTTCCACATTGTTTACATGCATATGACACAAATCAGAAATCTTATATATATGTATACATGTATATAGGATTGAATTTATAAAGGAGCATAAAGCCTTGAAATGACATGTGTTAAATGAAAGATGTGATATAGCTAAAATAAATTATAAAAAAGTGTTAATCTGGAAAAGAACTATTGTTTATTAAAAATCATGTGGTAGAATTATAAATATCTAGATATGTGATCAACGTCTATTTCGAGCTTGGTGTAAAAAGATTCACTGTATCAAAATCCTCATTATAGAAATAATAACTGAGGAGAAGTTTATGATGATATAAGATGAAACAAATAAATGAATAATGTTGCTTGTGCTCAGCATGATCAGTGAACTGTTGACCTTCTTTTTAAATTTCCCAAACATTTCATACGATGGACCCTAGCAGGCATAATCTTTTTTCTATAATTGTAAATATAATTAATTACCTTTGTTCTGATAGTCGAGTGTTTTCCTCCTTCAGTCTGTCAACCTCAACTGTAAGCTGTGCATTTTTAGATTTTAAACTTGAAGCAATATCAAAATTTTTACTATCTGAAAGTAGAACAAAAAAGTTTTTTGTAGATCTTATGTTGCTAATAATGTTTACTACCGTTATGAGGTTCTGTATAACTATTCTAGTTGTAACGATTGTAGGCAATAAGCAAAAAAATCATCACCATAGTCATTTTAAGGCAAATACTCAGATACAATTAGTTGATAAATGGTTTCAGTAATAAAGACAGTTTTGTAGATCTTTCATTGCTGAGGATTTTTTATGCCAACAGTTTCTAACAAGTTAACAAGCAAAATTACAAAAAATTTGTCAAAAGTTTCAAAAGCTCATCATGGCCAGATGATGAGCTATAGAGAATTTAAAAATATCTTTATGAAGAAAAAATTGTGAACGTTTTTTTTTTATATATATATATTGAGCTTTGATATATGAAATTAATGAATCCTGTAAATTGCAGCATTGATTGAGTAGTTAGAATTTTATTCCTGAAACCAGATCAAGGGTACTCAGTCAGAAGTGAAACAATAATAACATGAAAGCTGTATATTTATGATAAAAATGCACATGGTCAGGGGTCAACTTAAACAGAAATTCTAGGCAAGTGAATTTTGAGGTGAGCCAGTAAAAGGTATTATGGACCAGTAAATTTAAGATCAAGTTTTGTAGTACTGCATTAAGATCTTAATGCAATATTTCAAAATTTTATTGCTTGAGGAGCAAGTAAATTTTAAGAGGACTGGGAGATATAGATTTCAAATGGCCCTTCTGGCAAGTCTCACATCATTTCTTATGACAACCCCCTGTAGTACCTATAACCATTATTGATCAAATATGATAATTCATTACCGTGACTGGATACATATATACATGATATGTCTCTGTGGATATCAGAGTTATGTTATTTTACATGGTTTTATTGAAGTTCAAAAAGCGATCTGTGCTATGATAGTCACTAATATACAACACAATATATTTGTGCATGCATGCATATGCCCTTCATTCAAGTAATTAACAAATAACAGACTCTTGACCAACATTAATAAGATTTAATCATATGAACCAAACAAGGACAAACTGACCTTTAAGATGCACCTTAGGAAAACCCAATGGTCATGATGGTAAGCCAAATCAGAAATATAGCTTTGACTCAGAAGCCCAAATAGTGATCAAGGTTGAATGGGATTGTGTGTTAATGAACCTGAATAAGGTTGATGTTATTAATATAAATATAAGAAGATGTGTTATGATTGCCAATGAGACAGTCTTCCACCAGAGACCGAATAAGGCATAAGTAAGCAACTACTGAGGTCATCGTACGACATTCAAAAATTCGCCTTTGTAGAATGTAATGAATTCTAGGTTATATTTTCACATGCGTATACTAAAACTTTGTGATTGGCTTAAAATGTCCTCAACAATAGGAATTTAACCAATGATGTGACATCATTATCATTTTGGGTACAAACAATAAAATTACCCACAATCCTTTAGAATCTGAAACGACCTATAGACCACTTTCGAATAATGTCCTTCACCGGAAAAGTTCGTCAATTATGCGCGCCTTCATGACGCTATTTACCAGAAAAAGGGCCAACCTGTATCCCTGCATTATCAAAGTTCATTAAGCGTCTTCGTGATCGTCATTAGAAATAATATTTGTTCCATTGGTACTTATTCACAATTCCCTAATGACAGCAGTGCTGATTATCAATTATAAGAATTTAATTTGGTGAATAATTCGTGCAATATAGCATCATATTTTTTCAGCTGCTCGCTCAACATCGGAAGGAAGTGACATAATGCACCTAAATACACTAATGATGTTTGCTAAAACCAAAGACGAACTTGAAAGTGCATGTTCTATTGAGGTCTATTGAGGTGGTTGGTGTTGGGGTTAAATAATTTGAATGATGTGATGTTTTGCATATAGGTTGAGGCAGAGATACTGGTATATAATACAATAATATAATGGTATAATCAATAAGTCTTTAATAGGAATAAATTGTATTATTCTTGATCTAAACTGAGTATTTGTTACTTTAATGTGGGACTATTATACTAAGTTAGGTATAATAGGTCTTAGTCCAAATAATTTTGACGTCTTGTCAGGCTATTTTATTTTTTGCTTTGACGCCTTACTGTGTAAAGCGTCCAAGCAAAAAGAATAAAATGATCTAAAATAGCCTTACAAGACGTCATAATTATTTGGACTAAATAGGTCTCAGATCTGGGAAGTTTTATTTTTATGACAGTCAAACGCTCACATACTTACATGATTGAATTAAATTTTCAAATGGTTCTTTTTCTCTTTTGTTGCGTAGTTTAAGTTGTTTGAAAATGTTTTGTTTCCAATCAATTTCTGAAGTCGACATTTCCTTCATCCTTATTTTGTTATTCTTGAGTTTCCTCCCTTGTATTACAATTTGTTTCTTTGAAATGCAAACAAGATGGTCTCTGATACATATATCCTACCAGTCCTTAAAACAATGGGCAATAAATAACATATTAAAATGTCAAAGTAGTATTTAATATTGTAATTTTGAATATAAATAAGACAAAAAAAAAAAACAACATTGGTGATACGATCAATGAAAAGTTCTGAGGCAGTCCGAAAGGGTTCCGAATTATTTAGCAGACTTTCCTGTTCACGGTTCACGACAAGGAACTGAATTAGTTTATTGAATTTTGAATATATATGTGTTTCAAACTTTGATATCTTTTGAGAGCAAGAAAGTTGAAAAGGTAAGCAAAATTAGTAGGTCTATTTTGGAGCCCACATGACTTGTTTTTTTAAAGAAAGAAAAATGATTATCTGCACAGCACTGTCCGCAGTCGAGCACACGGGCACCTGCTTCTATTATATATGGACAGTAGAGCTTCCCATTGATAGAAACAAGTGCCTGTATCTGACCACCCAAAACTGCATTAAAAATAGTATTCTACAATTGATTGTTGTGAAGGCTGAGGTGTCAACTCTTCTGGTGCGCAATATCAGGACTATAACTATAGAACCTTTAAAGATTTTGAATAATATTGATTCTTCATGTTTGAACAGTCTTCTTAAAATTAAATCTACCAAATACTCTTTCAGATATAGAAATATAGTAGATGTTCCCGAGGTAAAAACATCCACCAATGGTAAAAAATCGTTTAAATATGCTGCAGCTACATGTACACTGTGAAACAGTCTTCAGACTCTTCTGGACCATTTCAGGACTGAAAACAGTTTTTTCTCAATTTAAAAACTTGATTCAGTCTTCATTTTTAAGTCTTTTCTATTATACTGTCAGCTCTGTAACTAATTTTTTAATTAGTATACTACTTTCAATATTTATTTATTAACTCAAATTTTTAAACTTTCAATTTTTACCGCTGTTGATATGCTGTTGGGTGACCCATAGAGGCGCTTGCCACATGAACTGCTTAATGTATTTTGTCAATCAGTTCTATATAGATTTTTAGATAAATTTATTATAAGATTGCTGGAAATTTGAAATTTTGTTGCTTGGCTTTATTGAGTTTTATGTTTTATATGTGCATGATGCTTTGTTTTACTTATTTTGAATACATTTTTATATTTGGTTATTATGCTATGCCGAATCAAAATAAAGTTTTCTATGTCTATGTTACAACAGCTGTTGATTTTAACATCTGTCTAGTAAATCAACTCAACAAAAGTTGCAGAGCCCACCATAACGTTAGATTTGATTGATCTCTATTGAACATCAACTGCTAAGAGACATATCCTATATACATGTTTATATCGAGATTCTTCTTCTTTAGGTCTTAGACTACTATAACACATATTGTGTTTTCGGAATGACTTGAGTCTGGATCAACCTTGGGCCAAAACCACCTGAGATTACTCAAGATCCAATAAAACTGTATAGTTGCCCAGACAACTTATTAAAGCAAGCAACTGCATGTATAGGTCACCATACAGCCTTCAACATGATCAAAACCCATACTGCATATATAGCAAGCTACTAAAGACCTTAAAATAACAAATGTAAAACATTTCAAAGGAGAAATTAACGACTTGATTATGTACAGAACAATAAACAAAAAACAAACATGGCAAATATGCCTATTACCGGTAAGCTTTTATTGATCTGTTGATTTGGAGGATCCAATGATTAAGTGCACAATTCCAAGTTATTGATCTGTTGATGAGCAGGTCCAATGATTAAATATGTACAAAAAATACTGTTTATTATTAAAGATATTCCTATTTTTAAAAGAAAGTTTCTAATACATTTCTTCTGCCAATGCCTTGATATTAGGTCCAAGCTAGCTTACAGATTTGTTTTTTTTGTTTTGTTTAAAGTGATTCATTTTAATTAATTTTCTTTACAATTGAAGATGTTTTTCCTAAATTGAGATTATATTTTTGTCTCGCCTACGACGAAAGTCGTAGTATGGGAGACATAGATATTACTATGTGTCGGCGAAGTAAACTATTTGTAAAAAGCTTTATATTTCAAATGGTTTGGTGAATGCTTGAAATTTTGTTATGTTTTGTTATGTGAATTTCTAACTTACTACATCTATGAGTAGTAGGATAATTATTTTTGGTATACATGGTATATGGGTTCCTTGAACGCCTTCATGTCTGTTAGACAGGGTTCACCTGACATCGACCTCATTTCATGGATCAGTAATCAAGGTTGAAGTTACATTATTAGGTCCGTTTCTCAGATACTATAAGCAGTAGGTCAACTATATGTGGTATATGGAATGATTGTAAGGAGTACATGTCAGTCTGGCAGGTTTCCTCTGACCTTGACCTCATTTTCATGTTTCATTGGTCAATGTTGAGTTTTTGTGTTTTGGTCTGTTTTTCAAGTACTATAAGTAATAGTTCAACTATGTTTGGTGTATGGAAGGATTGTAAGGTGTACATATCTGTCTGGCCTGGTTGATCTGACCATGACCTCATTATCATAGAACATTGATAATGTTAAGTTTATGTGATACTTGTAGTAAAACCTTCATGTTACAAACTTTCAACATAAATTTAATCATAAGTAAAACAAGTGAGACATTTCAGCGTGTGCACTCTTGCATTTGTTTAGAACTATTTTATTTGATTTTACAAATTGTTTTAACATTTCCACAGTTTAATTGAGGTAAACAGTTGTACATTTTGGTGATATTTATTCAATGGTTTTATATGATTTAAACTGTGTTTATTTATTTTTGCGAAAATATATTTACTGCAGAATTCTTGAAAATAAATACAGTAAAAACCTAAGCAAATAAGTTCCACATTAAACACGTTAAAGCATTAAGGAAGACTTCTTATTAATAAAATCTAAATATATATAGAGGAAGAATATGGGAAACTAAGTCAATGTTTTGAATATAAGAAAATTACCTAAGCAGAAGAAATTTAGAGATATGTCAATTCTCACCAGATCTGTGTTAAGCAATCATCGTCTTGGAATTGAGAGCTTTGATACAACAGAAAAACTAACATGTCAGGAAAAGCAGAGATATTACCTCCATGTAAAGAGGCTTTTAACACTATGACAAGATATTACCTCCATGTAAAGAGGCTTTTAACACTGGCCTTGGTTGAAGATGAAACAAATGTTCTGTTCACTAGTTTATTATATTATAATGTAAGAAAACAAATTCTTGAACATCTCTTTATATTGTTTAATATTATTAATTCGATTTTTTAACTAATTTGATTCGTTCAGGGATAGTCACATGTTAGACTATATTTTCGAAGGTAGATAGAAAACGGCGGATAGCAAAAAGCATATTGCACAGCAAAAAGCATATTGCACAGTTATTTTTAGAATATCTAAAAACCGATATACTTTGTGACATCATGTAATGAATTTCATGATATTGTTAAAAGATTTATAAAAAAATATCTATGATCGATTACATAAGATGTAAAAAAAAACAACAAAAAAAGAAAATGAAATAACAACTAATATGTTGTTATTGTCTAGGAGACAATATGATATCTATAAAATTCCAACAAAATCAAATGACGATTTTGATACAAATATGGTCGGAAATTAATAATATAACAATTATAGCCTATTTATAAGGTCAATACAGGATATATCGACCCAAAGAAGTACTTCGTCCTCAGTCAATATACTTCTTTCAGGTCAATATATCCTTGTATCGACCTCATACAAAGGCTATAATTGTATAATACATACCTTTACCAAGAAAATCTCTTGAATTGATATGAACAATGTTAAATGAAGGTGCATCATATGTTTCAACATTTTGTAAACATCTGGAGACAATTTATTCTCTTAGAAAGGTTGATTAAGTAACTTTCTAATAATTATACAAAGGATTTAACGATGTTAACAAATGTTTTTATTAAGTATATACATGTATACAGATATGTGTATTTTATATGTCTGATTATATATTTTCCTTTCAGATTATTATTATATTTTCATACATTGTCTTACTAGAGACGAGTATAGTACAATATGTCTCTGGTCTTACTTATTATATGTAGTAATAATTCTTCATTTTAAAATATGAAGAAATATTAGAGTTATCCCTCTTTGGATGGGACAAGTGTACTGACCCTTCTCTCCATATAATTATAATCAGATCATTTTTTTCCAATCAGTCTGACAGTGGTGTAAAAAGTTGAATTAAGGTAGTTTTACTGTATGTTTGTCTTTGTTATGATTTGTTTGTCTGTTTTTTGGCCCTATGATTAGGTTAATAAAAAAACTTGAATTTGAATTTGAATTTGTAATATTTAATCATTTTACCCTCTAATCAACAGATCAAAAACTTTGAATATACAAACTAGTTTGAACCTTCGAATCAACTGATCAATAAATGTGTAAAGGACATTGTCATAATTTATAACCTGAAAATATTCAAAATGATGTTTAAATTTACTATGCAGAAGGTTTCACTTAAATCTGTAGATCAACATGACAAGATCTACAAATTGTATGGAGACTCCTTATAGTAGTTATTGTCTTTCAAAGACATATTTTAACCATTATATTTTTTTTGAACTATAGTAGATAGAGGGAAAATGTAAACATAAAGAATGATTACTACGACAAGATCTACAAATAATTCCACATGTCCAAACTCACAAATCATCTCCTTATATTTCCCTGGTCTTTTACTTATTTTTGTGTTTTTTTCGCTGAAACTACATAAAATTGAGAATGGAAATGGGGAATGTGTCAAAGAGACAACAACCCGACCACAGAACAGACAACAGCAGAAGGCCACCAACAGGTCTTCAATGCAGCGAGAAATTCCCGCACCCGGAGGCGTCCTTCAGCTGGCCCCTAAACAAATATATATACTAGTTCAGTGATAATGAACGCCATACTAAACTCCAAATTGTACACAAGAAACTAAAATTAAAAATAATACAAGACTAACAAAGGCTAGAGGCTCCTGACTTGGGACAGGCGCAAAAATGCGGCGGGGTTAAACATGTTTATGAGATCTCAACCCTCCCCCTATACCTCTAGCCAATGTAGAAAAGTAAACGCATAACAATACGCACATTAAAATTCAGTTCAAGAGAAGTCCGAGTCTGATGTCAGAAGATGTAACCAAA